GTATCTAAGTAAGAATAGACAAAAGAGAAGCAGGTCTAGAGACTTGCTCACAATTATACAGCCAAATGGTTTCTGATAAGAGAGACACTGCTTTTAAATGAGAGTATATCATATTCCAATCATTGTAAACGGTTGGACTATCCACCAACTTATGTGGAAACAGTTGAATCTTGACACATATTTAACTTATCTATAAAAATTAGTTTTACAATAGTTTGTAGATTTTCTGGAATTACATAAAACAGCGTTATGATCTTGGGGCAGGCAAAATAGTTTCTGTCGTTTCCCCTACTACTTAAACCTTAGACAAAGGACGTGAAATTCAACAGGTGCCCAATCACCGTCCCTATTCCAGTAAATATTATTAATATCCATTAGAGCAGTTCTCTTAAGTTTTGTCATTCTTTATTCTGTGAATTTAGTCCATGAGTCAGAGGGGAGTAGGCCATAACATCTTTGCGTGAGTTCCCAGTGATAGACATGCTTAGATATGTACACAGAGGGAATGGAGGGGGCAGATTTGAACAAGGTTGGGCAATGCAAACACATTAAATCTGACACATAGTTCAGCAGTAGCAGGATGTCCCAGCATACCCTCACCCCGGACGGATGATATTTACTTTATCAAGACATTGATTTATTCTATCAAGACATTGATCGTATAAAGCTTCAATGTGTTGTCCTTTGTTCCGTTTCATGGAAGGAGAATGATGTGATTACTAGCTGGCAATTATACATGTAAAGAAAATGAAGGATAATATTTTTGCACATTTGTTTACAATTCTAGGCTTAGTCTTACACCAAACGAGTACATTATAATATGAATTTTTGTAGTTGAAGAAACCCCTTAGTGAGCGTCACATCACAGGTGAAATGGCAGACGTGTAACTAGAACCAGGCATGTCTCCCCAACACTTTTCTTCACCACTTTCAACTTCCGGCCTTCAAACAGTGATTTCCATCACAATTATAGTGCCAATTTCTAAATAGAACTAAATTCTAGTATTGGAGTGTTTTAAAAAATAAGATTGCAGGGTCAGTAGGTAGCATGGAGGGTAAGGCACTGGATCCCACATGACTGACAGTGCTGTTCAAGTCCTAGACTCAGTGGCTTAGAAATCATGCCAGGTCTGAGTGTGTGTGTGTGTGTGTGTGTGTGTGTGTGTATGCGTGTGTGTGTGTGTGTGTGTGTGTGTGTGTCCAAAATCCTGAGAGGAAAGTGGAAGAGAAGGGATTGTGGCATGGCCACAGGGGGTGATTTCTCACTTTCCCTCTCCTATACTCTGTCTCTGTCTAGCAAGCGCACATGCCTTACAGCAAAACAAAACAAAACAAAACAAAACAAAACAAAACAAAACAAAACAAAACAACTTAAAAAATAAAATAAGATTGTTTGGGGCCCATGGAATACATATCACTGAAATGAAATGTTTTAAAATTACAGGTTAAGATTGATGAACCATGAGCTAGAAAAGAATAAAAATTACCAAGAAACAAGACTACATTCTGGTTCTTATTTTTCTTCTTCTTCTTTTCTTCTTCTTCTTTCTTCTTCTTCTCCTTCTTCTTCTCCTTCTCCTTCTTCTTCTTCTTTCTTCTTCTCCTTCTCGTTCTTCTTCTTCTTCTTCTTGTTCTTCTTCTTCTCCTCCTCCTCCTCCTTCTCCTCCTCCACCTCCTTTTAAAGAGAGATTTTTTGCTATAGCATGCACTCCCTGGAGAGATGGAGAAAAACAGAGACAGAAAGAGAAATCACCCCTCAGGGGTGATGGCGAAACCACAATCCCTTCTCCTCCATTTTCTTCTTGCGATTTTGGACACATACGCACATGTGCCCGGCATCAGTTTTAAGCCACTGAGCCCGGGATTCAAACTGCAGTCAACTATGTGGGAGTCCAGCAACATAACCATTAAGTCGTCTGCTGGTCCTTACATTCTGTTTCTTAATGATTGTGTTTATCTGTGTATATGAATGCACATACTAGACCATAACTCAATTTATTTTTAACTATAGATTCAGAGCAACAATATTTAAAATTCACTATTTCGTAGAAAGAACCCAGGCTTTGGCCTCAGGCAGGTCTAAATCTAAACATCATCACTCTGTGCCTATTACTTAAAGAGTTCCTGAAAAACACCCTTCTCCCAACTCTGCTTATGAAACCAAAGAAAAAATAAAACCTTTTCTCAAATACTAATCCCCCTAAGCAGTGGCTATTGGAATCTTCTTAATGGCAATAAGACCACTATTTTAAAAATGGTTTCAGATGAAAAGATAAAGCAACTCACTGATTCAACCAATACGTGTCAATGCTTAAACTCCATGAAGGCAAAATTCAGATCTATTTTCTTTGCATTCAGCTGAAAAATTTCTACTTTAAATAATAGACTCAATGAAAATCCAGATTATGCCAATAGTTAAATGAATAAAAGGCTGAATGAAACTGAATTATTACTATATTGGAGGCTACAGAGACACAGAAACCAATGAGGAATAATAAACCTTGATCTTCAAGAAACTCAGTGTATACATTTATTACTTAATTCATGTTTTTACTAAATATTTATTTGCTATCAACTATTTTCCAGGCATTTTGCTAGGTACTGCAATAAACAGAACAACCACATTTACACCCTAAAGGTGAAGAGATATTACATAACAATCATACAAAAAGCTATAGAATTTAAATTATTTTAAGTACTATGAAGGGTACCATGAAATCATACACTAGAAGGGCCTAATGTACATTAAGAAGAAAGTACTCAAAGACTCGGAGGAAAAAAATGGTTCCACGACAAGATGCCATTTAACCTGAGTCTTGAAAGTTAAAACAACTTTTTTCCTTTTTCTTTTTTTAACCGATGTAGTTTGGCAAACTGAGCAAAAAGGAAACCATAGAGGGATAAAGTAAGAAAGGCAGAAAGTATCAAATTCTAAGGAACCTAAACCTCTTCCTGAGGATTAAGATTTGAACAATGAGAAATTGGAGAGAGACATGATTACACTCACTTCTCATAAAGATCACTTAGCTATTCTATTGGTCAACAGCTTCGAGGAAGAAATAACAGGTGTTGGGAAGTCATCTGAGGGAAATTACGGAAAGCCAGAGCCCAAACAATGACATCATCTTAGATATGCCAGTGGAAGGTAGAAGAAGTGTCCAGAATTGAGGTTATCATGGACGCTCATCCCTCCTATTCTTTTTTTTGGAGAGATTTTTGCTATAGGACGCGTGCGCTCGCCAGACAGACAGAGAGAGACATAGAGACAGAAAGCGAGAAATCACCCCCCAGGGAGGATGGTCACGCCGCAATCCCTTCTCCTCCATTCTCCTCTCGGGATCTTGGGCACGCACGCACACGCGCCCGGCGTGAGTTTTAAGCCACCGGGTCCAGGACGCGAACCACGATCGACTACGTGGGAGTCCAGCGACATAGCCATTACGCTAACTGCTGGTTCCCATCCCTCCTCTTCTTCATCACATTTGTCATCATTTGATGTTTTTCATAATCATGTATTATCTTTTGTTTTGTTTTGTTTTTAATTCCTCAATTAAAATGTAGTAGTAACTCCATGAAGCCATTGCGTTCCCTAATATATCCTAAGAGATGAGTACATGTCTTGATATAGGTCATGACCTGAGGTTTTACCCTATTGAAGCATCCAAGTTAGCCTGCTATAGTTCAATGAATGCTGGCAGGAGACAGACTCCTGGGTCAGAAACAGGGATATAGTGAGTCCACAGCAGTGGCCAGCGTGTCAGCCTTTGTTCTGGTTTCCCAACCTCAATTTCCACAGCTGATGTGAAGAGGGTCCCATTATACAAACCTGCACAGAAAGGACAATGTTACAGGAAAAGGAAACCGATCTTTTAAAACTTCCAACTCTTTAAAAATGCAGTAACTTCACCTGAGCTTTCACCTGACAGGAAATATTGTCTTTATTAAACCAGACAGTAAACAAGCCTGCCCTTTGACCCTGGGGACATATTTCATTTTCCAAGGCCATTTTTTTATACAAACATTCTTGATAAGATAGTCTGACACAGAGGCAGTTGGTGCCTCTGTTCACAAAACACACAGAAACGTGAGAGGGAACAAGAATTACCTCCTAACAACACATGGTAGACACACTGCACATATTTTCTTTTTATTTTTTAAGTTGATTTTTTTCTTACATGACGGAGAAAAAGAGATAGAGACGGACAGGCAGGCAGGTACTTCCAACAGGGTCTTCATACTATAATCGCCTTTACAGCCTCAGCTAGCTAGAATCACAGAGATGCACACAGGCCAGGAACGACAGGGTGATCTCTGTGTGCCACTCAGAACCTTCCCGTGTGGTGTCAGCCTCACAGAACATTGGATGACCACTGCATCACCTTCGGTGGACATGCGCATATTTTCAAATGAGAGATCAACCCTTTGAGTTAGGTATTATTGTTTATGTATTTTAATTTTCAGATGAATAAATCAAGGCACAAAGTGAATCAACTTTCCAAGAACATACAGCTGCCAAGTGACCCCAGCAAGTACATTCCACCTCCAGAGTCCACACTCTAAGGGACTGAGTCCTTCCCTGTCTTTCCCCTGGTTCTCCATCAGCTCCTTCAGGCTTTGTGGAAGGTTGAGAGAAAAAGAAAAGAAAAAAAAAAGAAGGAAGACCATAAAAAAGAAAAAATAAGTAAAAAGAGATTTTGGGGGGTATTCATACCAGCTCATATAACCAGAATAGAGTGGAAGGGATCTTTGAGTTCAGATGAGAAAACAAGGGCTCAAGAAGGGAAGGACCTTCCTGTAACTACAGAGGAAGTCAAGTGCTTTATTTTACCACCAGAACTGTTTTCTGACATTTTCTTGGCCTTGCAGATTACAGGCCTATCCTGCTTCTTTGATCTTTCTGACACAGGTGATATTCCTGAATCTGGGGCCAGGCTGGGGCATAGTTAATTAATAACCACGGGGATCTGCGATACAGCAGAGCAGGTGGAGCCTGTGTACCCAGCAGCCTATATGGCCTTCCAGTTCCAGGGTTCTGAAGAGAAGCAGCAATTTCGGTGCAGTTTTCATCTGAGCTCTGGACACAGACTTCAGCCATGAAGATAATAAGCATCTTCCTGCTCAGTGCCCTGGCGCTGCTCAGTTTATGTGGTAGGTGTCTTTGCGTAGTTTTCATATTTGCATAAACCTCTTTGAGTTTGCTTTACTGTGTACATTATCTTCTGGACTTTTGATATAGTCCAGTTTAAGACCGATTATTTTATTTCAATAAGACAAAACAAGATCAATATGTAGAAATTATAGAAAGAGGGATTTTTAAAAATATTTTTATTTATTTAATTCCATTTACTCTTATTATTTTTTTAATCTGACCAGAGAGAGACAGAGAAAGAGAGAAAGGGAAAGTGAGATAGCAAACCACTGGTCCAAGACTCGAACCATGGTCGACCATGTGGGAATCCAGTGCCTTTAACCACCATACCACCTGCTGGCCCCGAAAGAGGGATTTTTAACACAACATGTGGAAATGCCTGGAGATAGGGTGACAGCCTTTCATCTAGTGACAGGCTGACCCTTGACAGGGATATGGTAGAAAATAGAAGATGGGGCTACTTCAGCCTTAAATATGCTTTTGACTCTGTAAATGTTTAAGGCCAATTTACAAATTTTGACTTCTTATTGGATTCCATAAAATATATAGCAATGTCTTTCAGTTATTCATTATAAAAGGCGCAGTTTGACTGATTAAACATTTTATTTTTGATCTGCCAAATGATTCAAGAGGAGACATTCTACTAGAAGAGATGATGTGCATTATCCCCAAACTACATCTGGGCAGTGCTGACAGACAATTCTCAGCCCACAGCATTGGGATCCGGATTCTTTTTAACACTGGCAATGATTAGTATTTTCAGCTTCATCTCCAATTTAACAAAGAATCCTACTGAGAGACAAATCAACACTTTGTTAAGAAAAGGAAGAATATTGTACTTGCTAAAGATTTATGGGAGCAGTGGTCCCCTTCCCCTCCTCATGCATATTAACATATATAGATGCCTGGGCAAGCATCCGCTCATCAATTGTTTAGACCCAACTAAATTTTGAAGCCCAGTGGGACCCCAACTGCACCAGGTTCTGTCTATTCCCAGGCATCTTCTCCAAGCTCATAGGAGCATCATTATGTTTGGCTAGAAAGAGCTATTTCCTGGGACCTGCAGATGGAGTAATGGTTACATTGCTGGACTCCCAGGTAGTCGACCATGGTTTGTGTCCCAAACTTGGATACTTAAAACTCACACTGGATGTGTGCGCATTCATGCCCAAAATCCCAAGAGGAGAATGGAGGAGAAGGGATTGTAGTGTGACTATCCCTCGGGGTGGGGGTGGGAGTGATTTCTCACTTTCTATGTCTCTGTCTCTCTGGCGAGCACGCGTGCCTGTAGCAAAAATCTCTTTAAAAAAAAGAAAGAACTACTTCTTCGCCTAAATAGCTCACAATTTTGATTATTGTTATCAAAATTAAGTCTCATCCACATTTTCTCACTAGAGTATTATCAGAGTAGTTACTCCCTTTCTGCAAAGAACTCATGCATAGTTAGCATACTATGCTATGTCAGCAAGACCTGGTTTTCCAAAGAAAGGCAGAGTGACTACTTTGACTATTCATCTGTGAATTCAGTAAATGTGAGTTGGATTTGAGATCACTCAATGAATCTGTGTGAAATAAATCCAAGGGTAATTTGGCAAAAGAGCTCCATTTTCTCCAGTTTTTAACATTACTTACAAAAGGAGATTTACATGTAATTGTGAAAATTAATTTTGTATCAGAAGACATGGTTACTGCTAGTGACAATGATTTCACACCTAGTTATGTAATTTTCCATACCTTCATTTATAGACTGAGATAAATACACTTATATTTCACTGATTGTGGAGTCAAACATGTAGTAACTGGTTGTGATAATGCTGATGAACATTTGAAATGTATTTGCTCGGTGTCTGATACATTTCAAGCATTTCAAGGACATAATTTCTATTTTCAAGAAAATAGAGCAACTTTTCGGAAATATTAAATTGAGCTACTTTAATCATCGTCAAATTTTTTGCTTAATTTTGTTAAGATTTTAGCAGGCAGGGTGTAGACACAAACTAGTCAGATGTTCTTGAAAGAGGATGGAAATAAGAAGGTATGGAGAGTGGAAGAGGCCAAGGAAAAAAGGCAATCTTCAGTGAGAGCAGAGGATTGTGATTAAGAATATATTTGGCTTTTACCATTTAAGACCTAAATTAATATGCATGATTTATGTTTTCCAGGTAATACTAGAGCTGAGTCCTTGGGAAAAAAGGTAAAGAGAATTTTGTGATTTGTTATTCCTAGAGTCGGAGCTATTTAATCCAACAAAATACAATCTAGCTATTATCCTTCAGTTTAGCCCAAAGTCAAGATGAGGAATATGAATGCTAGCTAAGCTTAACCTGTGAAATGCACCTAGTAATAGCAGTTTCCCCACACCACCACTGCTACCACCACAAACTTAAATTGAAAGACAAATTCACTAACACCAGTTCTATATGGTGGTCTAATACTTGCTGTGAAGGGGATTTGGGTTTGGTCTTAAATTTTGCTGGCAGACATGTATGCTTACCAGAGAGATACAGTGAAAGAGGGACAAGGAGAAAGCATCTCATTTGGGGAATGGTCCGGATACAATCTCTTCTCCCCTATTGCTCTCTTGTTTTAGAATTTTAAGCACACACACGTGGCCAGCCTGCTTTTCCAGCCGCTACATCTAGGAATTGCAGTCAGCATTGGGGGATCCAGCTACCTTAAGCACTAGGCCGCAGGCTGGCCCCAAAGGATTTTTATTGGGCTCTCAGAAAAGTCATGACATGTTTTTCAATGCAAAAATGCTTCTGACAATCCAATATTGAAAGTAGCACAAGCTGTAGGACACGAATTTTAAGTAGAAGCCTTCTCAAGTCCACTCCACATAGCCCTTTCTCCTTCTAGCCAGTTAATCATGCTGGCATACAATTCTCCTAATCCCAAAGGTGCAGCTCCAATTTGTAATGAAAAACAGAAAGCAATAAGCTAGGTTTTTCCTCTAGAAAAACATTCCGTGTCTAACTTTTCCATGTTTTCCTTTGTTTAAGAGGTAATTCCAGTAAATTTGGAGATCAAAGGAAGAAGTGTCCATCTTCTCATTGCATTTATGTCTAGGAGGAGGTGGCTGATAAACCAAAACAGCTCATGAGTGAATAAATTATTACATTTGCTATAAGTGTTCCTAAGAAGTTCTGGTGACATCAGGAAATTAACCTACTTGGAGGGATCAGGGAGGTGCCCCTGACTAAGAGTTATCTTGAGCCAACAAGGTGGTGTGTTAACAAAACGTAGCCAGCAGGGCAAGGGGGGAGGGAATGGGAAGGAGGAGAAGCAGGGGAGAATGGTGGAATAGACCAGTTACAGAGTTAAAGCTCAGGATCCAGAATGGCGAGGTTTGAATTCTGCATCAGAGAATTATTAGCTGTGTGGCCTTGGGTGGTTTTATCACTTCATACTTCATTATCTTTGCCTGAAAAACAGTATGGTAATAATAAATCCACAGGATACTTGTGAGGTTTGAATAGAATAATACATAGAAAGCACTTAGGACAGTGTCTGACCTATCATGTCATTTGATGATTGTTGGCTCTTGCTCAGTAAAGGAAACAGAATGAGAAAACTCCAAAAAAATGTAAGATGCCAGTGCCTTGATGGGGCCAAGAGAAGACCAGTGTGAGTGGACTCAGTGTGCCAGGGAGCATGCCGCAAGGTGTGGCCGACCTGAGAGCAGCTTGCACCTGCTGTGGCTGTGACCTTGAACATTATCTCACTCATCGTATGTAAACCTCCCAACAGCACTCAGAGAGGCGGGCGAATGAACTATCATTCCCACTGTGCAGATGAAGTAACTGAGGTTCAGAGAGCCAATGTCGGGCAGCATACAGATAGCACAGGATCTCTTACAGCCAGGTGCTCTGACTCCAGATCATGAGTTCTTTCTTTTGGAACACTCAGTGTCATTCTCCTTATTACAGTCACGCCCCAGAGAAATTAAAACCATTTTAGCAATTTTACCATAAACTCAAAGTATGCAGATGATGAAAATTGATTCAGTTTCATTTCATTTTTAGGCTCATTGTAATGGTGAAGTAAATGGATGCCCCAGGATATATAACCCTGTCTGTGGGACTGATGGAAATACTTACGCCAATGAATGCATACTATGTGTTGAAAATCAGTGAGTACGAATAGGAATTTCTTTTAAAATATTGTAAAATAAAATTTCTTTTAAAATCAACTTAATTGTTTTCAAACTTTTATATATCTTATTTTTCTAATGTCCTAATTAACATACCAATAGCATGAATCTTACCATGAGAGAAACAAAGCATCTACTTTCTCCAAAAATAATTCATTTTTCCTCCTTTTACATATATCTTGTATGATAATATGACTATTATTGTCATTTCTATGATTGAAAACTCGTAGTTGTATAGCAAAACAGTAGATGGTCAAGATTTTAAAGAAGCTTTTGTACATGAAATACCTTTAAACAATAATGGTTTTTTTTTTCTTTTGGAGAGATTTTCGCTATAGGGCACGTGAGCTCGCCAGACAGACAGAGAGAGACATAGAGACAGAAAGCGAGAAATCACCCCCCAGGGGGGATGGTCACGCCACAGTCCCTTCTCCTCCATTCTCCTCTCGGGATTTTGGGCATGCACGCATACGCGCCCGGTGTGAGTTTTAAGCCACTGGGTCCGGGACACAAACTGCGGTCGACTACGTGGGAGTCCAGCGACATAGCCATTACGCTAACTGCTGGTTCCCAACAATAATGCTTTTTTTTTTTTAAAGAGAGATTTTTGTTATAGGGTGCATGTGCTTGCCAGAGAGACAGAAAGCAAGAACTCACTCCTCCCCCCACCTGAGAGAATGGCCATGCTGCAATCCCTTCTCCTTCAATCTCTTCTCGGGATTTTGAGCATGCATGCATATGCACCAGTGTGAGGTTGAAGCCTTCAGGTTTGGGACTCAATAATTCTTGATATGCCCAGATGTAGTAGTGCTTGCTGGTTGATACTGCTACTTGACAGACCAAGGCAACATGGGAGGTCAGGGTTTGATTCCTAGCCAAGGTAGATCCAGTGAATGTGCCTGTAGTTCCAGATATTCCAAATGCCGAGACAAGAGGATCATGACATAGAGAATGAGACCCTGTCTAAAATAATTATAATCCTTAGTGATAGCAGTTATTGTGTTCTAAAGCCCCCAAATATGTAAATGTCGGTTTATAGATTAAGTGACCAAAATGTGTTTGTGTAACATTTTTATTGATGAATATGAGAGCCAGCCTCAATGAAGATTCATTTTTCCGAAGTGCCCAGAAGCAGGTGATGGGAATCAGGCTCCAGACGCAGACAAATAGATTTGTCACAGATTTTCCATTTCACTCAGCAATGGAACATTTAACATGTGCCAAGCAATATGCTATTTTCTCCTGCTTTCCTTGTGCTTATGACTAAAAGAAAATAGGTCATGAGCACATAGAAGGTAGCTGCTTATAACTTGGGGCAAATGCCAGCAAATGAGGTATAAATAAAACCTTAATAGAAGTGAAGCAGGGACACGTATTCTTCTTATTGAAAGAGGTCAGGAAAGGATTCATAGAAAGGAAGCCATTCTAATGGGGCTCTGAAGTTTGGCAGCACTTAAAGAGTATTCCAGGTTAAGGTGCAGAATAATCAAAACAAGTAAAAGGGATTCCACAGCTGGCCCAGAAAATGTGCTTATTCAGGGATGGACTTGATATTAAGAACTTTGACCTGGAACTAGCAGATGGTGTAATGGTTACATTGCTAAACTTCCACGTAGAAGACCGTGATTTGAGTCCTGGGCCCAGCAGCATAAAACTCATGCTGGGTACATGTGTGTACATGCCCAAAATCTGGAAGAGAATGGAGGAGCATGGATTGTGGCTTAGTCAGCCTCCCAGGGGGTGATTTTTCTTACTTTCTGTCTCCCAGAAGAGTACATGCACCCTGTAGTAAAAATATCTCTCTCTCAAAAAAAAAAAAAAAGCTTTGACTTAGGCTCAAGTGACAGCACAAATAAATTTCCATTATTTCACTGCATAAATAGCCTTCCCTGCAACTCATGCCCTACTCTTAGGATGTTTTAAATTATTTCAGAAAATTCTCAGTTTAGAAGGCTCATGGAAATAGATTCCCAGAATGAAAGGTTTAGTAATTTTTATCCCAAGCATTAGGTGTTCTGCTTTATAGTGAACCTGTTGCCACAATTAACAGGAATTTGAAAACACTTGTTAATTTTCTCATGGCCTATGTTGTTGACATTAAGGTCGACAATCTTATTTCCATCCAAGGGGAGGAGAAAGCAACAGAACCTTGAGAAAGTTCCACATGCAAGACTAAAGCTGAGTATTTAGAGTGAAACATTGGAAACACACAAGCATAGAGTTAGACATTCTGTTGTCTTAGTCTTTACCTACCAGTTCCTGCTTACATATGGGAGAAGTTTTTAAATGTTAGAAAATGAAACATTTTTTCCTATTTTTCTCGGATAAAGGAAATTTAGGTCTAGAGACAAACCATGGCTTCCTCAAATACAACGTACGTCCTAATGCTCTGCAGCACTTTTCTTTCTATCGCCCACTAAAATCCCCAGACAAATTCATTGCACTGTAGCTAATACCAGGCACTGACCCTAGCTGTCGAGTTTTGAATTGAGAAGATAATACCAAACAAGAACTTGCATATGGTAGTCTCCTTAGTCATTATATGCTTGACAGATATATTCAATAAGGACTTTTTCTATTTATTCTGTATCTTCTTAGGGAATCTATATTGGCAAACACTTCTCTGTAGGTCAGCATTACCCAACAGAATTTTCTGTAGTGATGAAATGCTATCTGTGCTATCCCATAAATATATAGCCACTAAGCACAATATACTAGTCACTAGCACTTAAATATAGCTAGTAAAAGTGGGGAACTGGATTGTTAATATTACTATCAGTAAGTTAAATTTAAATAGCTGTATGTACTTAGTGATCACATGGAACTACAGTGAACAGCATGAAAAACAAGTCAGCTCTGGTACGCCCTGTGGTAGATATTTGTGGTTACGCATGCTGATTAGGAAATCAGTATAATGAGCAGTTAATAATTATGGGACAAGAAAGCATTAAAAATCTTAAAATGAAGAATCAGCAAATCCAGATAAATATGTGGTAGAAAGGCGGTGTGGACAGAATGGAGAAGTTTTATCTGGAGGGGAGCAGGGTTAGAAACGGCAGGTATCAAAAGAGGTAGAGATATGATCTCCTTTTTTAAGACCTTACAGATATGAATCCCCAGAGTCTGAGGTAAAAGAGCAATCAATTAGAAGGCCCTGCACTAGTCCAGGCACCAGGTGAGATGGAACCCTGGTGGCTGTGGCAGTGACATCAAGAACAAAAGAAGAAACAATGGGTTGGATGTTAATTTTGGCACTTTATTCAAACACCTCACTACATCCGTAATCTCTGTAAGGACAGACATTTTCTTTCTATTGTACCCTAGTGATATGAGAGTAAATAAATATTCGATAAATTAATGAATAAACAAATGAGAAAAAGAAATGGAAATAAACATTAAATTTCTCCATTTTAAATAAAGCTGATTTTTCCATTGTTTTATCTATAACCACTTTTTTATCTGCAAAGTTTAAGCAGATTTTTTTTTTCAATCTTCCATATAGGAAGCGCCAGATTCCTGTCCTCATTCAAAAGTCTGGACCTTGTTGAGAACCAAGATTCTGAAATCTCGTAACTTCACCATGGTGCTTTGGCATTTCTCCATTTTAAATAAAGCTGATTTTTCCATTGTTTTATCTATAACCACTTTTTTATCTGCAAAGTTTAAGCAGATTTTTTTTTCAATCTTCTATATAGGAAGCGCCAGATTCCTGTCCTCATTCAAAAGTCTGGACCTTGTTGAGAACCAAGATTCTGAAATCTCGTAACTTCACCATGATGCCTTGGCTGTTCTGACTGTTGAATAAATGCATCTGCACACTCCCTGTTCTTCCCATATGCTTTTTCTTCAAAGGCATGGTTAATTATACCAGAGAAAAGAGGCTTGGGCCAGACGCAAGATGGACCAGGTTTTACAAAATACAGCAATTCTATAATTTTATACAGGGTTTCTCTCATAATACCTCTTTGTTTATCTTTCTCACATTCTAAGGCCTCTGTCTCAGGAAACATAATCACTGGATGCAGTTGACCATGAACATATGTAATCTCACAGAAGATTGGACTACCATTTTAAGAAATAGTACAGAGGTGGAAAGGGGGACAACAGATGATGTGGTGGTTAAGGTGTTGGACTTCCACATGGTTGACCACCATTTGAGTTCTGAACCTCACAGCTTGAAAATTACACTGGGTGCGTGTGCATGTGTGCTCAAAATCCCAAGAAGAGGATGAAGGAGAAGGGATTGCAGTGTGGCCAGACCTTCTGAGGGATGATTTATCACTTTCTCTCTCTCTGCCTCTCTCTCTTTTTCTCTGACAAATGCTCACACCGTATGGCAAAAAAAAAAAAAAAAAGAAGAAAGAAAAAAGAAACAAATCTCTCGATCCAAAAATATGTCACCGATCACATTTCACTGATTGAAATAACTCCTTCAGGTTTCCTTAAGATTTAGTTAGCATTTACTGTGCCCAGTTCAGGTCTAAATATACAAATGTAGAGTTGCCTGCCTTGTGAAACAGAGATTGCTCCTCTGTTTTGTATACAACTCGAAAGGTAGAGTTTAGATCACAAATGTTCTTTGTCAAGAGATTTGAACCACGGGGGAAACAAAAAATGTTACATTTTTCGGGGACCGTCAGGTGGTGTGGTGGATAAGGACTCTGGATTCCCACATGGTCGACCATGGTTTGAGCCCTGGACCTGGTGGCTTGCTTTCACCTGGTGGCTTGCTTTCTCACTTTCTCTCTCTCTCTCTCTGTCTCTGGTCAAATTAAAAAATAATAATAAAAAATGGAATTAAATAAATAATTTTTTTAAAATCTTACGTTTTTTTCTACAGTGTTAAGGAGCAGCTTCTGGGTTTAGCCCTCATTTTCCCCAGCCTGGGGGTTTTGTACAGAGCTAACAGAGGTGGTGGGGAGAAAGGCTTGGTTCTGATTAACTTCAGAAATGGTCTCTTCTACTTCTAAACCATCCCGAAGAGGTGATTTGGCAAGGAAAAAAAGGTGATACAAACCAGATAAACTGATGTGAGGGTTTTGTGCTGTTCACATAAAAGTGAGCCACAATAACCCTGAAACATTTGCCTTATCTTGTGAGTAAACTTAGAAGTCAAGTGACCTGACTAACCTTGCCAGCAAGAAAGGTGGCAGAGTTGGATTTGGAATTCAGGGCTGACTTCAATTCCAATGCTTCTTCCTTTAAACTGTAATCACCACACATAGATTAGTCCTTGTTTATTTCTTCTATAGATACTTTAGATAACATCCTCATATTAAAAAGAGTCTATATATTTATATTCTAGGGCAGCAAATAAGAGAGAAAGAAGAAAATGTCCTCAAAGAAAAAAAATATAGACAACTTCCAAAAAACTAGAGAAGAAAAAGCAGCTTGAATTCCTGAGCTTATGAGGAATTAGCCTAGAATGGAGAGATGGATAGAGGGTTAACAGCTGGTGCTGCATCAGGTTCTGTGATATATAGTGGGAAGTAGGTCACTCATTGAGCTAGAAATAACTAATCAAAAGTCAGAACTCCGAAACATAATTACGTGACACTCTGAAGTAAGTGAAGGTTAATTTCTTGTCCTAATCAGAATATATAGTCTGAGGTCTAAATATGACCACTAGAGGATGCTGCTGTCTACCAAGTTATTCACCTAATCCCAAACCTAACAGCTCTTGCCAGATACCATATGCTATCGGAAGTTCTGGATGCAAAATGGCTTCCATCATCTTGTCTGTGATGCTAGAGGACACTTGAAGGGCATCCCTAATAGCAAGGAACTTTGCCACAGTTAACAGAATTGAAATCACCGAATGCTACAAATTGTCCTATGTAACTGGACCATTCTACAAGTCTAGAGAGTAGAGGATTAGAAGTTACAAGCAGAAGTAAGACCTAAACCCAGATTGCTTGCCTTTAATGGTTCTTCTCACTCTCTGACTAGTCAGAAAGCATGTGGATTACTGTATTCATGCATTCAGGCTATGTCTTAAAAGAGATTACCTTCAAACCAGAATGTATTGAGAAGAGGGCAACAACCATAATTGGTAAGAATTTGAAATTTTGTTCTGTGATGCATGGTTGAAAGAAGAAGGAAAATTCTAGCTGAGGAAAGGAAAACTATTGGAACTTGATGGGTTTTCTCAAACACCTTAAGAAATGAGAATATTAACACCATGAAACCAGTAATTTTTGCCTTTTATTCACTACTATATTGCAGGCTTGAAATTCTAACAACTAACTAGAAGGTATTTAATGAGTGTTCTTTTTATGTAAATGAATGGGGGAAAGAAATTAGCATATTTTGGTGTCCCCAAAACACAGAATTTAGATGAACTGGGTAGAGGTTAAAGAGATACTGGTTTTGGTGGCTCAGAAGGAAAATGTACACTGTACTTTTTAAGATCGGGGCTCTGATTTGGAGAGCCCGGGCTTGAATCTGGTTCTGCCACAATCACTATCTAGCCATGTGTTTGGGGAGAAATCAGAATTTCTCCAGGTCTCAGTTTTCTCATTTAAGATATGGAGTTGCTAATAATTCCTTTACAGAACAATTTGTACAATGCCTGGCATCTAAGTGCTCAAAAAGTATTAGCTAGTATTATTGTTATTCCTCTTGTAACCCTTTGAGCTCACTAAAGATGCAGTTGATTGTCTTCTGGAACATGAACATTTTTATGATAGGAAGGTTACTTCTTCACATGACAGTTCATTGCATTATTGAATTGTCGCGAATTCTGTAGAGATTCCTCAAGGAGGTACAAAGGTTAGACTAAAATTGCTCTGTTTTAATGGTAAAATATTCTAGAACTTGGTTAAAGAATGTCAAAAAAGCCTTTCTACTCCTGCTTGCTCTCCATAAACAAACTTCAACCTCATTTAGATAAAGCTGCTTTTTTTTTCTTTTGCTAGATTACAACCAATCACAGAAGCTAGACTTCAGCTAATCACAGGCATTCCACCTTTTAAACTGTGTTAACACAAACTTCAGAATGTAACTGATCCTAATTGTTTCTCTACCTCATTCTCTCATTTTCATTTTTGTATGCCACTTTCCCTTTTTGAAATTTAAAATACCAAGCTGACAACCATAAGGCTACCTGGAGTTGCTCCAAAGTTGGTCCAGGAAAAACTGCCTGGTTCAAACTGTGTTAAATACAATTTACTCAATTAAATGCCACTAAATTAAATTGTCTGGATTTTTCTTTTTACAACTGCAAACCACATCTTCTAAATATAAATTCAAGAGTAGTGACAGAGAACAAATGTTATGGGCCGAGAAGGGTTTTGTAGCCCTGGGAGAGAAGAGGGTAATTAATCTAGCTCATACTATTAGGTCCCTATCCCCAACTGCATGTAAGAACTTTAGCTTTATTAAACGTAGGACCACGCAACTCAGGTAAGCTCCTAGAAAACAATCATAATGCCAGTATAATCTGTACAATTGTTTCAAAATATTTGAAACATGAAGCCATCTGAAGAAAAATAGTATATCAAAAAATGTGTAATAAAAAGTTATTTGCTGATGATAATGTATATGGTAATGTCTTTGCATTGACTGATATCAACCATATTCATCTTGGAAAGAGCAATGGTTGTAACCATGAAAAGATATAGTGATTCAATGTAAATTTAAAAATTAATTAATTAAAAAAATTTGTCCCATTAGAGAAGTAAGCCTGTTTGAAGTTAAAGTTTTTTTTTAAATAAATTATACTGAGCCTCTTGAGAAATAGAAACATGAGAAATATTGAACCTTTATTTATATTTCTCTGAGTCAATTTTTCACCTAAAAATCATAGCTGATTCAACTACATCAGGTGGAACTACAATGTCTTTGCATAATAAAGACAATTAAATTTTTTAAATGGGCAAAGCTCTTACTTTTCTAAGCCCAGCACTGCCAACAATTTTCTTTGTTTTCTTTCACTGTTTGAACAGTAGCTAATTTAGCTAAAAATACATAAAAGGTAGAGAATAAAATCATTGGTATCTAGCAGAACTAAAAATCAAGGGCCAAGAAAATTTTCCATGAAACTTGGACTATGGAATCTATTTCTTAGGAGTCTATTTCTCAGAACCCATTCTCTCTCACATCCAGTCTCCCTTATCCATTCCCTTCATTAAGCACAGCTTACCTCTGACATGGTTTAGTGTCACTGATCAGGGGCTCTCTCTGCCAGAGTGAACTCAGCTCATCTTTCCCTCCACCTCATTCTTCCACCTGTCCTACCAAACAGTGCCAGTTTATGTAGAACTAGAAACTGCTTCTCAACTACAAAATAATTTCAGAAGTTTGCTGATGAAAAAGTTGTAATAGCTACACATTGCCTACTCAAGAAGATCGTAAGTTAGCCTGGTAGTTAAGAGTCCCTTAGTAATATGAAACCTCATGTGTTCCTAGCTTTAGGCATTTTTTCCCACGAAATTGTATTTCTGTACTTCTTTTTCACCTGTCAAATTATTACCAATTTAGGGAACCAGCAGTTAGCGGAATGGCTATGTCGCTGGACTCCCACGTAGTCGACCACGGTTCGTGTCCCAGACCTGGTGGCTTAAAACTCATGCCAGGCGCATGTGCGTGCGTGCCC